AAAAGAATAAAAAAAGCACACAAAACATGTCCTTAGAAAGTGTTACGGTGGTAAGCATTGCTTTGCTAACACAGTCACTGGTGGAACTGCCATGTCTTAAAAGCGTTCAAATTCTAAATGCTTTCTATGTTTATTACAAATGCATGTGCTATTGAGAACTCTGAATGTGTTTTAATGCTTCGGATATCTGCCTGCATATTTATCTTAATATGTTGCCATTTGAAAAAGGCAGTAGTTAATTTTTTTTTTTTTTTTGTATATCTGTTACAGTATTTTATCTCTGCTACCTTTGTATAGCTAGTATGAATGCCTTTTCATATGATAAAAAATTGATGCACTCCTGTTCTAACTGCACGTTCACATATTAAATAGCTCATGTGTTTGAGTTGCGGTATTTCATTTTTCTGAGGTGTTCTGTTTTGATAGCAAGATTTATAAAGTTTATTTTAACTTTTCATACTTGCTTGCATCTTTATTGTTAAATATAAAGGTGCCTGTACAGAATTACTTCATTTTTCTCCTACCATGATAGTTTATGGGCATATATGCCTAAGAAAATAATACTGCATTTTGTTAGTTATCTTTCTTTTTTTCCTCTTCATTTTAATCTGAGTTTATACTGTCCCCTGCTCAGTGCCTATAATGAATATTCTAAAGGGGTAGATTATATATAATTATTAAGCTCATCATACTATCACATATAAACCTCTGTGTGCCACTTATATCATCTCTTATAATCATATACTTCAGGAATAAAAAATGTGATTGAGGGGGAAAATTAATATATATATGTAATTAATAGACTCATGACGATAACATATTGGTTATTCTCTATAATAAACTCATTCATTTTATGATGACTTTAGCCTCATTTATTCTGTTTTTCATATGCCAAGACCATGTCTATCCATCTTTATTACACCTATGTTTTGTGTTTATGAATTAGTTTGTAATTCCTGGGAAAAGGTGTTATTCAGATTTAAACAGTTTTTAATATTTTAAATTTATTTTAATTTTTATATTTGCATTGACCAGGTCATTAGGAGGCTAAAGTGATGGTTCAAACATGTTCACAATATTGAATTCCAAAGTCTTGATATTGATACTTTCTGAAACTTTTTGTTTTTCAGTTTTCTTTTCTCTATGCTCAAAATTTGTTTTGCCCAATACCTACCTACCTTCCTTCCACCCTCCTTTTCATTCTTTCATTCAAAACATTCAACACAAGGGATGAGTGGCAAATGACATTTTTATAGTCCATGTAAATTATTTTTCTTTTTTCTAGTATTTGTAAATTTGTATTGCCTGAATCTAGAATGCACTGCTCCTTTTGAAAACCAGGTGAGTTTCAGGGTAACACATTTGGCAGTACCACTTTGAATCAAATATTAAAATACCCATCCTGGAAATTCCAAGTTTAACTTTAATATTACAAAACTCATTGTCATTACAGACACAGTTGTTACTTGTTTTTCCTTTTAAATACCAAATCTTTTTTTTTTTTTAACGTAAGTACCTTCATCCACAATACCAATTCAAATACCAAAGGTGCAGTTTGCTATGTTTATGTATTTCCTTATTGATTGTGTTCTTAAACTTTAAGATATCCTCTTACATATTTCCCCATATTTTAATTTTAAAACCTATAGTGTCACTCGGGCTTTTAAATAAAGATTGTCTTATATTCACTTTCTGGGTTTTGGTGTTGTAATTGTATATGTGTGTGTGTTATCATCACATGTTCTTTCTTTCGCTTAAGGCTTAGGATCATGCATGCCAAGATTCACTGCTGTCTTCCTCAATTTTGACTAACCTTTCCGGTTTGTGGGTGAAACTTGGGTGCCATTAAGAGTGATCTATTTTCATTGTGCTTCTCTTAAACTTGTCCTCACCAGGAAGCCATCATTTCCTATACTTTATCTAATGCTTTACCTTCTGCTTTTCTTAGATTTCTAATGTAAACAGCGCCTCAGAATGTATTGGTAGCTTTAAAGAGCTTATTTTTAAAGAGCTTATTTCCTTATCTGAGTCCTTGTGCTAACTTGTTGATATATATATATATATATATATATACACACACACACATATATATGTAACAAACTTTAAACTTTTTTGATTGAAATTTTCTTTTCCCTGCTGGTATATTCTGAAAAATAATTCTTATAGCATTTTTTTGTTTTTCCTTAATGAAAAGCTGAGATGAGAGTACTAAAATCTAATAGAAGAATGCTGCATCTCTATTTTAGGTGAGATTGTAATGCTCTTCATTTTTGTATGAACTCTAGTGAATAAAAAGGAGTATAGTACTTAGTGCTAATTAGTTATTTATCTAACTAGGTAACTTACCCTAGTTTATTGCAGGAGACTTAATTGCTGCAACAAATGATTTTAGCAACCCAAACTTTCCTGTCTTTTGCCCAGTGTAAATTATTTTAAGAATGGTAGCATTTTTTCCCTTTATGATAGGCCAAATGTCTCTCAAGTGACCCAAATTTAGTTTAACTCGGCCACGTATTTCTTCCTCCAAAGTACTCTGTGGCTTAGAAATGAGTTTTGAATCGACCTCTGACAAGCACAGAGAACCCTTAGTTACCTTTAATTTGGCCTCTGAATAGTTTAGGGAGCACTCTCCTTTGAGAATAAATATTCGGGAGACTTCATGGCCTCTACGCCTCTGCAAACATCTCGGCATCTCCCGCATTTCTCCAGAGATATCTACCTTCCGACTGTCCCCATCACCACTCTCTGATGTGCCCTCAGTCCTCAGCGCCTGTCACTAGTAAGCCACGGCCCCTCGTCCGCTGGGCCAGTACGCCCTCCCTGCTTTGCCTTTCCCTCGGTTGCCCGCCTCCGGGGCTCAAGGCATATATTCCTTTTTGTGGCTTTTGTGGCGTGTGGGTGGTAGGTTAGTTTTTTCCCCTGGACCTCGCCCCCTCCTCTCCATCACTTTCATCCCTCGCCAGTCATATCCCTGCTCCCTCCCGCTCCCACTCGCACACCTGCCTTGCTCGCCCGCGCGCCGCGCGCTCCCCGCCCCGAACTGAGGACGCAGCCTGGGAAGCCTCCTCCCCTCCTCCCTTCTGCGCCCTCCCCGGCGCGCCTGGCGGCGACCGGCACTAGCCCTAGCGCAGCGCCCTGTTATTCTGGGTATTGTGTGTAATAAATGTCGGGCCGCCTCACTCTAATCAAGCTCATTACAAATTCTTGCGCGCCCGGGGCCGGAAATCGTGCGCTCC